TTTCCGACCGTTTGGCAGGGATTTTGGCTCCGATTTGACCACAGGAGAAATCAGCGTGGAAAAACGAGTCGGGGATATGAAATTTACCTCGATCGGCGGTCGGAAATCTCCCCGGTGCGGCGGCGGGTGGCGGCGGCCGGCGCCTCCGGCGTCTGGTTCGTCTTCTCCGGCGAGGGCAGGCGGCTAGGGTTTTTGTGGTCGGGTGTGGGGGTTCTATTTATACCCTTTTGCCTTTTGATCTCAGCCGTCCATTTTGATTTAATCTGGGCCGTCCGTTTTTGATTGAATCTGGGCCGTCCGTGCGATTGCATCTGGGTCGTCCGTGCGCACGCTTGATCTGGACCGTCCAATCGCGCGTACGCGGATCGCCAACGTGGCCCGTTCCTGGTCGACGTGGTTTTGCCACGTGGCAGGTCCTGGTTGGCCAGGATTGCTGACTGGGTCTGCTGACGTGGCTGCTGACGTGGCGTTTTTTTTTAAACCTAATTAAAATATAATCAATTTTCTTTTTTTTTTTATATTTTCCGGGTGTTACATCTTACATTGTTTTATTTGCAAACTTAGATATCTAATTATTAATATAGTACAAATTTTTTATTATCTTATTCTACTTCCAATATAATTGGTGATGATTTTAAAGATCAAAAAATTATTCTTGAAAAATTTTCTTTTTTTTTAGTCTCGCATCATTCATGTTATGTAATTATACATGTGTCATACTCAATTTTGTTCGGCTTAATAATAATAATAGTAATAATAAAAATAATCATCATCAAATGTGTGATAAAAAGTTACACATGGAAATAGTTAAGTTATTTTTAATTTTTTGTTATTATCATTATTATTGTCATTATTTTTTCAATTGTGAGTTTTATCATTATGATGAGTAAAGAGAGAAAAATCTTGAGAAATAAGAAAATGAGACAAATGAAATTAAAAGAAAAGAGAGAGTGAAAGAGAATGAAGAAAAAAAAAAGAGGATAAAAGAGAAAATGATGTGTAGAAAGAGCAGAATTTTCTTTTTAAAAAAAGAGAACAAAATACAAAAATGATAAAAGAAGAAAAAATGAAGAAAGATCAAAATGAAAATGAGAGAAATAAAA